TGGTTTTAGGTGGGGGGGGGGGGGGGGTGGAGTAGAGCAGAATAAATATAACATTGGATGAAAAAAGGATTTTCCTCCTGATATCAAGTCTCTTTTTTTGCATCGCATGGGTAATCAAATCAGCTGATCAATGTCCTTCAAACCCCTTACAAAAGAATGATAGTGATACTCAGACATGATGTGCTCTACTATTTGTACCTGATGACCACAGTCCATATAAGCATTTGCCTCATTTTCCATTTAAAGAAAGTGTGTCTACATCTTCTATGAGATGTCCTGATGTGATTAAGTCTGCTCCAGTCTTTCCAACATAAATCAGAGCACAGTGGTTCCTGGCTAGGTCAATGACGAACTATTTGTTTTCAGAGGTTGAAACATTCCATGTGTTCATTTATATTAAGTGATTCATATGAATGAAGGTGTGCCCATATGAGCCTCTTTATACCTACTGGCAAAAGGCACACCTAACGGTCATATTTAGACAAAATCTCTTCTCAGGTATGATGCAATAACTGGTGACATACTGTCCATAAATATCACTATGTGATACATGTACAGGATGTTTATAAAGAGTTACATAAGTGTGCTGGATATATGTTCTTAAAATATGTTTTGGGAGCAGCTGATAAAAAATGCTTACTTTAGACAAAGGAATTTAGATTTGACCATCTGCATGGCTTGAATACTGGCAAAGGACAACTGAAGCTGAATTTAAACAAAGTGATTGAGACAATCAAAAAAGCAAATTGACCAGCGGATGAGGAAGACAGCATGCCATATACAAACCAGCAAAGGAGAAGAACTCTGAGACATATATTTCAAAGGAATACATTTCATAGTAATTTACTGGACTATAAAAAGTAGAAAACAGAACCCCTTAGTTATCCATCACTTACGGGACAAAGGGGCCAAAGCACTCAAAATCTGTGAAAGTTGGATCCTTCTACTGTGTAAGCTTAGGACATGAATTGACTGTAGGTAGAAACTGCCTGATACCAGGTTCATACTTTTTAGAGTCAAAAACTTACTTTATTTTGTTTTATTTGCTACCACTTCTGTTTCTATTATCTCTGCTTAGTAACACTTAAATATGCTGTTATACTAGAGTACAATGTGCATTTTCAGTTGAGCCAAGAGGTAGTCTCTTTGGAGGCAATGGATTTAGTTAATTTGTCTGCGTGTCAAGTGAGAAAAACTGGACAATGCAACGGAGAAGGAATTCAGGAGCTGGGGATCACTGGTTGTTACCTGCAAGGCAAGAATTAGGCTAGCAATGTTTTGAGAAGTTTTTTGGTGAGGTGGATAGACTGGTGTGGCAGGAAGCTGTCCCATACTTTTATTTCCAGAAAAGTCCTTTCTAAGGCGAAGTTACATAGGGGCTTATGGTTTTAGTCTCCCAAGGACATCATCACAAATGATCTGTGCTTATTTGCAGAGGAAGTATTCTTAATAGGTGTTTCAAGAAGTTCCACTGATGGTTCTAGAGTTTCCTCTAAGTTTCTCATATGCTGCTTTGAGATTTATTTGGAACAACAGTCTGAATGTCAAACTTTAAAACAAAATAAAACCAAAAATATTCAAGTTTTTGTTAGATATTTTAATCAAATATTGTATTTCCACTTGTGCTACAAAATAGTAATTATGGAGATTAAGGAAAGCTTCCACAGCTTAGCTCTCATATTCTGAGTGTACATGTAGAAAGTGTAATTGAGTTAGCTCAGCTAAAATAGGCAACATTTCAAGATCACTGAAACAAGGAAGCTGACAAACAACAATATTCAAAAGCACTATGCAGTATTACCAGTGTAAATAAAAAGACATTACCTGAAATAGTCTTTTTTCCAGCCTACAGCAGATATGAATCCATTACTCATATCAAAAACAGTTTTTGTGGACAGTCAGTACCTTACATCACCATTACTATACCTTAGCATGAGTTACCACTATTATTTCCAGTCTGCTTATGGTACAGTATCAATAGCTATATTATGGTATTCTTTCAATCATGTAGCTGTTGATTGCAGTAAATTAATATGCAGCAGATACTACTGAACTTCAAGGGCTTGTTTACATTGAGCAACAGTGTGTATTCTGATTTCTAGTGCACAGTGATGTGTTATGCACTTATTAACTGGTCTGTGCAGGCTCTGGCAGTGAACACTATAGGTGTCCTAATGCACTTTAATGCAGTACTATATGTTAAAATGCTTGAGGCAACTTTTGGCCCTCATGATACATAGTAATGAAACAAAATGGAATACACTAATGTGTTTTAGAAATCATATCCCCTCCTTCTCCCCCAAAGGATGCTTCACCCCACCATGTAGACAAGCGCTAAGAAAAAAAATCTTGAAAACAGCAACAATTTGATTACAGTACAGTTTAAAATGTTTTTAAAAAAGGATGGGAGGGAGCAAATTCACATGTGTATGTGGGTCTGTCAGCCCAAATACAAGGGTATATAAACTTACAGTTCTTTGTGTTTGTCCTCGGCCAAGATTTGGTCATTTGGCTTGAGAGCATACCTTAATGGGAAAGGGAGGAAAACAAAACAGAAAAAAATTACTTTAGTTCTTAAACAGATTTATTCTCAGTTTAAATTTGAGAAGTAAATAATCTCGTTATCTTTGTCTATTGCAAAGCATTACAAGTATTTTGAGCCAGAGAACAATACCTGTTAAAATTAGGGTGTCTAGACTACACGGCTCCATCGACGGAGCCATGTAAACTAATTTACCCAGCATAGTCAAAGAAGCGGGGATTTAAATAATCCCCGCTTCATTAAAATAAACATGGCCGCCGCGCTGTGCCGACGATCAGCTGATCCAGCACAGCGCAGCAGTCTAGATGCAGATCTGTCGGCTGGGGAAGCCTTTGCCGATCAATCCTGGGAAGCAAAGGCTTCCCCAGCCAACAGATCTGCGTCTAGTTTGCTGCACCGTGCCAGATCAGCTGATCGTCGGCACAGTGCAGCGGCCATGTTTATTTTAATGAAGCGGGGATTATTTAAATCCCCGCTTCTTTGACTATGCTGGGTAAAATAGTTTATATGGCTCGGTCAATGGAGCCATGTAGTCTAGACATACCCTAGAGGATTAACACACTTAACTTCAAAACTCTTGTATGAAATGCTTGACCATTAGATTATCTAGTTCAATGTTTCTCAACCTTTTTTTGCTCATGGCCCCTTCTGAGCCTTGTTTACCTCTGTGGCCACCCTCACAGCTGCTGTTAGTTTGAAAAAAAGGTACATAATTTACCTCATGTTCCGTTTTTTCCATGTGGCCCCCTAGAGGTAGGGCGTGGCCCCGGGAAGCCATATGGCCCTCGGTTGAGAACCACTGATCTAGCTGATCTCCTATATCTCAGAGGCCATTAATTACATTTTATCCACTTAACTTGGTATTGAACCCAACCTTACTGTTAAGGTGAACAGATTTAAGCTCTCATCTGTTGCTCTAAAGTATTTTCTCCTATCCTTAATAATTCACATACTATGCAACACATTCCACATATGGGGATCACCTAACCCCTCACTGAAATGAAACTTTGTCAGAGGTATAATGCAACAGCCACTGTTCACCAATAGCTCCGCATATTCCACATATTTAGATTCAGAGACTTTAACAGACCTCTGATTCCCTTGGCTCCAGCTCTCTCCCCCTAGTGGTGGTGCTTCAGCCCAGGTGTGGCCGTACTCTGAATGTGTAAGTTCCTCCCCCCCCCCACCCGAGGCAGCAAGGGGGAGGAGCAGGAACCTGTGCTGAGGGGAGCCAACTTAAAAGCCAGTTCTCCCAAGACAGAGGTGCAACCAAGACAGCGAGTGCCCCACCTCGCCCTTATTGACTAATCGAGTAATTGGTGGAAATTCCTTCCAATACTTGATTAGCTGATTAACTGAAATTTAACATCCCTAGTTTACTTATAAGGAGGTCATGTGAGGCTATATCAAATGCTTTACAGAAGTCAAGGTATACCACATCTATTGCTTCCCCCTTATTCATAGGGCTTGTTAGTCTATCAAAGAAAGCTATCAGGTTGGTTTGACATGATTTGTTCTTTACAAATCCATTCTGACTGTTAGTTAACACCTTATTATCTTCCAGACGTTTCCAGGGATTCCTTAATTATTTGCTCCATGATCTTTTCTGGCACAGAAGTTATGCGGACTGGCCTGTAGTTTCATGGTTAATATACAATAGGTAATAGTTTACTGTACATGTCTAAACAGTAGTTCCTGCTAAAACTCACTGATCTGCTTGTTTTTATGTCCTACTTACGTGATTTCTACTTTATCCAGTTGACAGAGATAAAACTATTTGTCCTCTAAATTGCTTCTGCCTTTTCTTATTGCTCTGATCCAGAACACCCCACTATCAGTCTTGTTACTATATTTTCAAAATTAATCTAAAAAGATTAGTACAGTGAGCATGAGGAATGTCATTGCTTGCTTGTGCATTTTTTCAGAGGGCAGCAACTCCTCTTTAAATAGACGCAGTAAGAGATTCTCTGGGATTTTTTTTTTACTCTAAAAAGCCTCATCTGAGGTATAATGAAAATCAGCTGCAAAGGTGCTGTCTCTTTCCCATTTGCTGAGGAGTATGCTCATATGGAGTTATGCCCAATAGATAGTCAAAAACAAATCAGAGTTAGCCATCAAAAATAAAAAAATTAGACTCATCAGATACAAATTTTAACTAAAAATGTTACTTTTTCACACTATTAAGAATCATAGAGCTTAGCAGTTCCATTTATCTATGACTTCAGCTCAGGAGTAAATGAACTCCTTTAACAGCAGTGAAAGTACTATTTTCTTGTTTCAAGTAAAATTTCTATACTTTTTGTTATGGCCAGTGACTTGCAAATTTTCAAGAGTCAGTTATACTCCTACGTGGCAAATAGTGTGTTAAAAAGAACACTAACATAAAAGTTTGGAACTTGGATCATGCGATTTACTTTTAGCACTATAAAAGCAATAAACAGCCTGTAATAAACTCTACATTCCAGGAATTTCTTTACAGAAAAACACCAACCACATACCATAAATATAAATACAATAGACAAAACTACATCAAAAACCAGATATTACCACTTAAACCAATATAAGAGTTTTTTTGAAGCACGCACATATCATCCTCCCTAGATGATAAATAGCCCTCAGGGATTACTACTCTTCCTAGAAGTCCCAATAAAAAGAGGCCATCTGAAACTTATCCTGAAAGTGACAATATCTTGTCACACTCAAGTTCTGCCTTCATGCTCCATTTTCTGTCAGCCATTTGTCAGCGTTTTCACCTCACACTCTCCCTCTCTGCTACTTTGTCCCTCTATAATGCCTTAACGTCCTCCAGTATCTTTTTAAACAACTTCCTGAACGCCACATTCCTATTTCCCAGCATCCTTTTAGTATCCTACGCATTTCTGCATACCCTCTCATTCTGCCTCTCTGCAACTCCTCCTTGCCTTCCACTAGTGGTTAGAAAGATTAGGAAATTCTAGAGCATGGAAGAAATAGCTATTATATTTGATGACACCTTAGCTTCAGTGCTACTGGAAACAATGAGAGACCTGTTGTCCTTGCTACAGGTAGCCTCATCCACCTGCAAAGGTGGTAGGAGACATGACAGCCATCTTAACTGAAAGTAGCCCATGGCTTTACCCCCAATGAGAATAACTGGAAAAGTCAAGATGTCAGCATACAAGTGTCATGTATGCTTAGCAGCTCTTTCAAATTAATTCTATAGCAAAAGCACAGACAGCTATGTTTAAGAGGAGGTAGACTAACCACAGACTACATGAATTGTCTTTTTGCTGTTAAGGAGGAGTGTATTAGGAAATGTGTTAGGAAACATGATAATTTAGGATAAGCAGTAAAATTTGTAAGAGTAAAAATCCTCATCTGAGTCTCTAGCTCTTCAACACCACACCAAATTTGGTCTAAGTAGAAAAAATTCCTTGCTTCTAATTACAAGAGCTTCATCTCATTCACTTGCTCTTGAGTAACACACCAAATTTGGGGTAAGTAAAAAAAATTCTTTGCATCTGCTTACAGGATCCTCAGCTAATTCACTAGCCCTTAAGAGAAAAAAAATGTTTTGCATCTCAAATTAACCACAGAACTGAACAGACAATGAGAGATGAGACCATAAATACGCTGCAGTAACGACTGCGGGTACCTCATCATCTACAACTCATTCTGGAAACTGAACTCACGTGCTGCTCTCCAACGACAAGAGGCAGGAGGTCCACACCGAGGAAGACATCGTAACAGCATTCGTCGTCCTCTACCTGGCCAGTAGAGAGATGCTGCTACACCTGATCGGGTGAGTCAAAAAACTTAACAAAAGACTCTGAAAAACTTAACAAAGAGTCAAAAAATCTAACAAAAAGAGTAAAAAAAAAATCAAGAAAAACAAAATAATATTGATAAGCTGTAAGATCGAGGAGCCTCATAGTTTCAGTTCTTTTAAAAACTTAATCAAGAAGAAATTAAAAAACTAGATAACGAGATATCTGATGTCATGTATCCTTGTAATCATGCTAGCATAAAATTTGCTTTTTGTATTTTTATTTTTTTTATTTTATTATTCATTTTCTTTTAATTCTTAGCTGTTCTCTTTTAACTTTGTTATTCATTAAGTGGTAACATCAATAAAGTTATGCTCATTAATTAAAACATAAATTGGTACTTGGTATAAATTTATTGATGACTTCCCAGGTAAGCAAGGGGACAAACCAGAGTTCTGCACAGTCCTAGCGAACCCAAGGGAAGGGGCGGTTTGCTTAATCACGACCACTCACGGCAACAAGCAGGGGAGGGCAAAGTTTTATTTTAAGAAAAATTCCATCTACTAAATAATCTTACGACTCTTGATAAAGCCAGGCAAGTCTGTAACTCTGATCCAGGCTTGGAGAGATAAAAGAATCATTCATGAGTAAGCCCTCAAAAATGCATTACCTTTTAAAAAATTATAAAAAGACATGGTTTTTAGTCTGTCGCTTTTTCTGGAAACAAACCAAAAACATATCTGCACAAAAAAGTGAAGGTTACTTTGTTGGTTGCCAGAGGGAGATGGCACTTACTGTTTCCTAACTTCTGGGATGAAGAAGCTGCCGTAACTTCCTCTATTGTCATCTTAGTCCACCCTCCAAGCCCTTGGTCCATATAGCTCTTGCCCCCATTTCCCTGTCTCTCATCACTCAAAATTCTTCCCCCATTCTCTCAAAGAGTATCTACACAATGAAAGTTACCTATAGCTCACAAAGTAGCTGAACCACTGCTGAATATCACTGACACCTGGCAACAGTGGGTTTAGTCGCATTACTGTTAATAGGACACAAACATTTTGAAGACCATTATTAACTGGAAACCTGAAATTAAAAGATTATGAGAAGACTTTAATAACTGGCCCACAATATCACAAGGCTCTGGTTCCAAAGCAGAGGGGTTCTCATTAGGGATATCAGAGAGTGTGGAATAGAATAGAATTTAGTGGTTACACGATTATTCGATAGTCCCTGCACC